GTTACAAGCGCATGGTAGTGGTGGGAGGAGGGGACAGGATGCTGACCCTCTGTGGTCACAAAACTGCCAAAGGCAGCTGGGGGGGTGGGGGGAGTACAACTGCCACCTCAGGTTCTTTCCAAACCTACAGGGTCCCTTGATTTATTTAGTTTTATGGGAAAGGGAAAGGCAGATATACAGAGAGGAGGAGAGACAGAGAGGAAGATCTTCCATCTGATGGTTCACTCCCCAAGTGGCCACAATGGCTGGAGCTGAGCCAATCTGAAGCCAGGAGCCAGGATCCTTTCCCAGGTCTCTCACGCGGGCGCAGGGTCCCAAGGCTTTGGGCGGTCCTCGACTGTTTCCCCAGGTCACAAGCAGGGAGCTGAATAGGAAGTGGGGCTGCCGGATTTGAACCGGTGACCATATGGGATCCTGGTACGTTCAAGGTGAGGACTTTAACCACTATGCTATTGCACCAGGCCCAAGTCTCAAGTTCTAACAGCCAAACTTGCACATGAGGACAAGCATTTGGCATGGTGGTTAGGTGGCTGCTCCGGAAGACCGCGTCCTCGTCCTAGCATTCTAGATTGGAGTGTCTGGTTGGAGCTCTAACTCCTTGTTTCCAATCTGCTAATGTGTACCCTGGGAGATAGCAGGGGTCCCTGTCACCCATGTGGGAGACCTACAGTGTCTTCTGGTTGCTGGCTTTGACCTTGTCTGAGCCTGGCCATTGCAGGCTTTGGGGGGGGGGGTGGTATGGGGCGAAGCAACAGATGGAAAATCTTCCTGGGTGTGCATCTCTGTCTTTCAAATAAACAAAAGAGATATCTTTAAAAACAACAACAATATGTGTATCTACAGCTCTCTCCTCAGGGCCCTGGCTAACCATGGGCTCACACTGCTGGCGGGAGGCACTTCGGGGTCCACTCTTAACTCTAAGGTGGGCAGGCAGGGGCCGGAGTGCAGGAAGGGGCAGGGAAGTTAACAATCACTGAGGGGTAGGGGATTTTAAAGCGTTCATGGACGACAGAACTAGAAGATGTACTGATTTGCATGCAGAAAGGGGAGATGGACACAGCGTGTTTTCACAGTACACACTCTCTGGTAACGTTTCAAAGGCCCCCCAACAGTCTGGGGAGAACAGCCTTCGCACCTTGTAGAGTTTAGTGGAGAACACGCAGGATGTGAATAAATGCAGGTAGAGACGGACCCCTGGTCCTGAAGTACGGCAGGTGCCACCTGAAGTACCTGGCAGTGAAACCCTTGCATCCCATGCCTGCATCCGCGCCCTCTTTCTGTCTGCCCGCTGCCTTGACTCATCACCAGTGGACGCACCACCGGGCTTCTAAATCTGTGTGTTCCACACCCATAGATTCCACTTGCAACCATTTGTGTAGGCTCTGCCTCATGTCGGTGGCTGAGACTCCCTCGCGTGACGGTTTACGGTCTGCAGAGAGACAACCCCGCAGCACACAGAACACGTGCCATTCTGTAGAAGGGCCTTGAGTATCCTCGGATTTGGGGACCTCTAAAGGGATGGGGTGAAGTTCCGGTGATGTGGACGTGGAGGGAGATGAGATGTTCTTGCAGTTTCTGTCTGGCTGTACTTCGTCACTACCCACTTCCCTGTCAATCAAATACGCCCACTCTGCTGTTGAATTACCTGCTCCTCCTACACCAGGAAGACAACGACGTCACAACAGCTACGTGGAAGTTAAGCTCCAGTGGAGGTGCAAACCCCCGAAGGCCTCCCCCGTTCCGCCCTGGTTGCCTGTTCAGTTAGGGTACCACTTGCTACCCCATCATAGGGACTATTAGATATTAAGAGGGGCCCCTTTTTGCCTTCTAGCTTCTGGCCCCTGGTGCTTCTTTGTTCTCCTCCCAGACTCTCTCCTCATGGGCAACATTCTGTTCACTGAAAGTGGGTATTTGGGGGGGGGCAGTGCTGTAGCAAAGGAGTTAAAGCCTCCACTGTGGTGCTGGCATTCCATGTGAGCATCTGTTTGAGTCTTGGCTGCTCCACTCTCAATCCACCCTGTTACTGTGCCTGGGCCCAAGTGCTAAGCCAACTACACCCACATGGGAGACCCGGCTGGAGCTCCTGGCTCCTGGTTCTGGTCCAGCTCATCTCCAGCCATTGCAGCCATCTGGAGAGTGAACCAGCAAATGGAAGATCTTTCTCTCTATTTCTCTTGCTCTCTCTGTAACTCTTTTTAAAATAAATAAATATATCTTCTTTTGTCTTTTAAAATTAGCCTGTCAGTTTCTAGTGCTTGTGACCAAGAACCTCATTTGTGTATTGCTTTTTTTAAAAAAAAAAAAGATTTGTTTATTTTATTAGAAAGGCAGATATAAAGAGAAAAGGATACAGAAAGATCCTGCATCTGCTGGTTCACTCCCAAAGTGGTCACAATGGCCAGAGCTGAGCTGATCCAAAGCCAAGAGCCAGGAACCTCTTCCGGGCCTCCCATATGAATGCAGGGTCCCAGGGGTTTGGGCCATCCTCTATTGCTTTCCCAGTCTCAGGCAGGAAGCTGGATGGGAAGTAGAATAGCAGGGACATGAACCAGTGCCCATATGGGATCCCAGTGTATGCAAGGCGAGAACTTTAGCCACTAGGCTACCGCACCAGGCCCATAAAACTATCTTTAAGGGGGAGCTGGTGTGATAGCCTTGTAGCTAAATCCTCTTTTTGCATCCTCCAGGGTCCCATATGGGTGCCAATCATGTCCCGGCTATTCCATTTCCCACATAGCTTGTGGCTTGAGAGGGCAGTGGAAGATGGCCCAGGGCCTTGGGACCCACATGGGAGACCCGGAGGAAGATCCTGGCTTTGAATTGGCTCTCTTCTGGCTGTCAGGGCCATTTGGGGCGTGAACCAATGGATGAAAGATCTTTATCCTTCTCTCTGTAAATACACCTTTCCAATAAAAATAAATAAATCTTAAAAAAAAAAAGAGAGAGAGATGAGCATCTTTCCATGTGGGTTGCCCACATTCTGGAGTGAAGTGCACTCACTCTCACTTTAAATTTACTGTGACTTGCGCACAACCTCACTTACGCCTCTGCTTGGCATTCTGATAATGTGGGAACAAGGGCCTGGAATATCATCATTGGGATACAGGTAATACTACAACCAATCCTCTCAATGCAAGGACAGGTGCACTGCCCTGGAGCCACGTGTGTCTACCACCGGCATCCCAGCTCATCACCACTCCCACACAGTGCCATCCGCAGACCTGGCCCTGCTTCCCGGAGTCCAGGGCCCAGGAATGGTAGAGCCCGTTGACGTGTTGCAACAGACAGGGTCTAGCCCACATCTGTGTTCTCACTCCTGCATCTCCCACACCTGTCTCTCCAGCCGCCCCGCAGCCTCCTTCTGCTCCTCACATGGCAGCTCATTCCTGCCGTGGGACCTTTGTTCACGCTTGGTGCCTGGGCCTTGGGGCTGCCACACTTGTACCCCTCCTCCCTGGCTCAGGACCTCACAGCTGTGCAGAGCAGCCCCTTCTCCAGGGGCCAGCAGGTGCCTGAGACACGGCAGGTACTGTGCAGTGCTGCCAATCTAGATCTCTTTGCTGCTCTCCCTGCTCCCACCTCTGATTGGCAAGATGCTGAGGCCTTCAATATGCATGGGGGAAAAATGCTGGACTGAGACACAAGACTGGTCCCCAGTTGGGGAGGGGTACACTATCCATTCTCCAACCCCTACACGGCTGAGGGGGTTGTCTTGGGAAGCAGACAACACGTCATCCAGAGCTGGCAGGGAGCTGTAACCCCAGTCTCCCTTCCCTCACTTGGCCAGCAGTGCAGACAACCAGAGAGGCTCTGTGGGCAAGGCTGGGGCCGCAGCAGAGCAGTGTCTGGGGAGATCTCATCCCATCTCCCCAGGTCTTGGCTGGAGTGCTTCCCCCATCCCTGCTCCCCCTTGACTCTGTGGAGGGCCACTGGGCCTGGGTATCAGGAGGATTAAAGACAGGACTAGAGCGACAGGAAGCGCCAATGTGCCCCTGGCCAACAAAGGGTTGGGAAGCTACACCCGACAGCGTGGCACGGGAAGGTGGAAGCAGTGGGCTTAGGACCCAGGCAGACTCTGGGGTCACGTTTTTGCTGTGTGACCAGAGGCAGGCCCCTGTACCTCTCTGGGCCTCAGTGTCCCTCTCCTGTGATGAGGATACAGCACTGGCTGGCATCATCCCCAGCCAGAGTCACCGGCCGAGGGGGAGGCAGCACAGGGGGGAAACCAGGAGCTTTCCATGAATGGCAAAAGCAGAGCCCAGCATGGAGTAGGGCTGGGGGTGTGGCCAGGGCCTAGGTCTGTGATGACTTTCTGGATTTTGGAAGGCCCAGGCCAAGTGCCGCGGGCAGGAAGCTCCTGGAGTCGAATTCCACCTCTGAGGAGTGCGACTGAATAATTCCGATGGCATCTGTGTCTGTCACACACACACACACACACACACACACACACACACACACACACACACACACACACACACACACACACACACGCCCCGGAGGCGCTGACTCGGCTATCCTGGTGTTCCATGATTCTAGGAATTAGGGCCGATTAACTCTGCGTCACGACCGCCAGGAAGCCCACACTGAATCCACCCACATCCCATCTCCTCCCTCTAAGCGTGGGCCAAAGAAGTGAGCATATTTGGGCTTCAGTGCTGGGGGACTCCAACGTCAGCCCCCTCGCCCCCTTGGCAAGCAGGAGGCCCCTGTTGCTCTGAAAGCCTGAAGCTCCAGCATCAAACAACCGTGGCATGACTCAGAGGCAAGAGGGCCCACCGGCCAAGTGGACAGCTGCCAAGGACAGGGAGACGGAAGAGCGCCACCCCTCCTCTCACCCCAAGATACTCTCTTCTCCAAGTATACGACCCTTTTAGGAAATAGGAGAACGAGCCTGGAAAGAGTTGCCAGGAAGGTTCTAGAAGTTTCTCTCCTTTTGAAGCCCTCCCTCCGACCTGGCATTCCAGAATCCCTGGGTGTATCATCAGGATGGTATGACTTACACTTCTGTCGTGATGAAACCGGTAAGCTCCGAGAGGAAGAGGAAGAGGATGAAGAGGCAGCAACAGATGGAAACTAGAAGAAACAAGACGAGACCCGCACGGTTAAGGGCAGTGGGCACTGCAGATGGCAGCCCAGCCCCCCCGGCCAGCCCTCTGCTGTGGAGAACAGAGGCCTCAGGACACACAGCTTGCAGGTGGGGTCCACCCCTCTGCACCCTTAAACCCCTTCTTACTCATGGAGTCCTCCGTGGCTGGCACAGATACAGCCATGGGGTCCCAGCCTCCCATAAAACCTCTTGAAGGCAGAATCTGGAGGTGTCTTAAGTGATACCCAAGCTGGGATTCATGTGGAATGAGCCACAGAGCCCACCCAGCATCCAGAACACCCAGTCCTCATGCCCACAGGAAGGCTGAGCCCACCCATCAGCTTGCCCCAGGTCCTACCTTCCCCTGCTGCCTCCCCACTCCCAAGACTGGGTACCAGGTCTGCTGGAGGAAATGCCTACATCGCCTTCAAGGGCAGGACAATGAGTACCCCAAGAGCTGTGCTATTATTGATATTTCAAAATCAATTTGAAAGAGAGTGAACCCCGTGGCTTCAGGGCCTGGCCTGGGGACACAGGAGGCATCCTTGGGCATTGAAGACAGCAGGGAATCAGCCCCTAGGGTACGGAACAAGGGCTGACCACAGCTCACCTGAGCTTATCCCAGAGAAGGGGACAGGCTGGCAGGCCAGGGCCATGCTCTATTCCACCATTCATGGGCTGTGTGCCCTGGATTACCTAAATGAGTCTCGGCAGACTCACCTAGAGAACTGTCACAATTGTAGTATCTATCTCCAGGGATTTATTCATTTTAAAAGTCTTTTTTTTTTTTTCATTTATTTCTTAGGAAGATAGATGCAGATAGCACCCAATCACGGGTTCACTCCCCCAAATGCCTGCCAACTCAATCGATGGCTGCCTGTGGGCAGCAGAGAACCAACCACATCAGCCACCACCCTGACCTCCCAGGGTGTGCCCTGGCCAGCAGTCAAGGGTCAGGAGCCAGAGCTGCCTATGGAACACAGGTTATCCCAACTACAAGGCCAAACACTTGTCTCTCCTTCAAAGGTTTAATTTCGTTTTATGACACCGTTTTGTAGGCTCTGGGATTTCCCCAACCCCTCCCCAGGCCCTCCCCCCATGATGGATTCCTCCACATTGTTGCAGTAGTACAGTTCAAATCCAGTCATGGTTCCTATACTGCAAGCATGTACCATGCATAGAGTCCAGCATCTTACTGTCCAGATAAATTCAACAGTTTCTTGGGGAGACCATCTCAGGTAGAGATGGTGGAATATCATCCCATCTAATGAAAAGCCACAACATAACATCAACAACAATTTGCAACATTATGGAGTTAATTGACAATGGAATTGAGTGAACAATATGTTAGAAAATGCCAGTTCTTAACCACATCCTGTGACTACTTCATTGACATTTCAATTTTACTTTAATATACACCCAGCTGCTATACACCTTCCACTGAATTTGGCAGGTTTTAGGATAGTCCCAACCGGCTTATAACTCTAACTAGGCATATGTTAACAACGGAGGTGTAAAGCAGTTTTAGGAGGGGTGTGCAGAGAAATCTTCAATACCTTAGTGAGGAGTAACTAATCTTTGTGTCCTACTTAGTAAGGCATGTGTGATTCCACACTGACCGTTTCCTGTCTGGTTCTAAGCTTTCTTTATTGGTCATCACAGGATCTAATGTCAGAACAACAGCTGGGAGCCCTGAGCAGTCCTCAGGAACAGAACAGTAAACTTCTTCCGGGACTTGGGAGGGGAGCTTTCTCTGGTCCTTACTTAGTTCCAACTTTGGATTCCCCCACCCCTCTTGCAATGACCATCATGGTTGCTCTGGTGCCCTACGCCTCCCCAAACAAACAAACAAACAAACAAAGGTTTAAATAGCACAGACACTAGGGATTGAAACTGCCCATGCAGGGAGCAACTGCTTAAGTGCCGTAGCTCAACTGGAGATGCTGAAAGGGAAAGGGTCTGGAGAAATGGAGAAGCCGACTTGACACACTGGCTGGCCCTTGTTTTTTTGGCCAAGAAAATGGCCACAACAGTCAGTGTTGGGCCAGGCTGCAGCCAGGAACCAGGAACTAACTCCATCCTGGTCTCCCACATGCCTGGCAGGGTTCCAAGCACCTGACTCTCTTCCCTTGCTTTCCCACGTATTGCAGCAGGGAGCTGAACTGGAAGTGGAGCAGCTGGGACTTGAACTGGCACTTCAGTATGGGATGCAGGAGTCACGGGTGGTAGCTTAACGCGCTGCACTGCACCAGCTCCAGGTGCAAAACATTTTTAAAGTTTACTACACAGTGTCTTCACGATACCTGTTTGCCATAAAGATCACCCAGACGCACAGATTTCAAGATGTTTTGCAGTTAAATGAACTTAGCTTTTAGTCTCATTTGTCCATGAACTTCCTGGAGTCCTCTCATACGTAAGTCCCTTTTTTTTCTCTTGGTGAACAGCAGTGTCACCCAGTACCCTTATGCAGCTAAACCCTGCCCACTCAGGGGCCAATGTCCCAAGAAGCCCCCTTTGGTTTGTGCATAATAGCTATAGTAGACTTGTTTTACATTTTAGGCACAGAAGCAATTTTTTTTTCAAGATTTATTTATTTTTATTGGAAAGTCAGATATACAGAGAGGAGGAGAGACAGAGAGGAAGATCTTCCGTCTGATGATTCGCTCCCCAAGTGACTATAATGGCTGGAAGTGAGCCAATCTGAAGCCAGGAGCCTCTTCTGGGCCTCCCACGCGGGTGCAGGATGGCCCAAGGCTTTAGGCCATCCTCAACTGTTTTCCCAGGCCACAGGCAGGGAGTTGAATGGGAAGTGGGGTTGCTGAGATTAGAACCTGCACCCATATGGGATCCCGGCGTGTGCAAGGCAAGGATTTTTGGCCGCTAGGCTACCACGCCAGGCCCAGAAGCAAATTTCAAATGTCTTGATTGACTGGCTGCTGAGAAAACTGGCTAGAGGAGATCAGCTGGCCCTCCAAACTTCCTGTGTCCTGTTATTGTGCTGGCTGTAGTCCAATAACCTGCAGGGAGAGAACTGCAGTGTACACACACACGATGTCCTTCACCCTCAAGTCTGCACCTGTTCTGCCCAGGATCGTATAAGGAGCCGTGTTTCAGATTTGTCCCCAAGCCCTCAGGATCCCAGTAGCTCACTGGGTGCTACTGGGATGAACAGGTACAACAGAGGAATGTGTCTAAAGACACGGCCCTGGAACCAGCAGCCTGTCTTGTCCCTCCAGCCCACCTTGACAACGCACCCCAAAATTCTCTTTCCAGACAGCAGTGTGGGACCATGCTGGAGAAGGTTTCTTTCTCAAAGGTGGTTATTACGTTCAAGACTCTGAGCAGGCCAACAGGATAAGAATGGGGTCTATCTGGCTGTCACTCCGGAGCTCTGAAGGTCTAATTTACACCTGTCCTACTGTGCCTGCTCCTCTCAGCCCTGTCCTTGATCTGGGGTCTCACGACCATTGCCTTGACCTCAGAGTGTAGCACGTGGCTCAGAGAAGGCACAAAATAAGTACCATATAAATGAATCCCTCTCCAACCCCACCCACCCCCAAAATGGTGGACAGCAGAGAGAGCAAGCATTTCCATCCAAAAAAGCCTTTAGAAACTAAGACTTGAAGGTTTTCCCATCCATGTTGGAACACAATTCGAAGATTCTCTGTGACTCCAGATCCCTTCTGAAAATCACCTGATGTTGCACAGCAGGAATGTGACCCCAGGAGAAGACAGGCTCACAGGGCTCCAGCAGTGACCAGCGAAGGGGACATGGACCCAAGACCCAATACTCCATGACGTCATGGAATTTATCCAAGGTTACCTGGCTACATACACGCAGGCTGCACAACTTGATCCCTGGCCTAGGAGTCGCTGGCACCCTGGGTTCTCTGGTTATCCACAGCACCAAGCACCGTGTGGTGAGACAGCAAGTGTCTGGCGCCGCCTGCCCTGCAGTGTGCGTTCCTCAGGACGCAGACTTGAGCTGTTCGCCTACGCAGCTGCAGTACTTGGCCTGGGTCCTGGCTCTCGGGGCCTGCTCTAATAAATATTTGCTCACTACTTGGTAGCTAAGGGCTAGCTTCCTATGCCTCATGCTCTTCCTTCGCTGGCTGGCCTGCACATCGCATCTGGGACATCTCAGATCCTGTCCCGCTGACGGCCACTTGGCAAGACCTTGTGCATGTCACAACCCATGTGTCCTTTGCCCCAGTAAATCCTCTTCTGGGAGGGGTGCTCTATAGAAAAGAACCGTTCAAGGCGTGCGGAAAGATACAGACAGGGATGTCTGCCGGCCGCAAAGTGGACTCGGGGCGCCAGTGACAAACCACAGGCCAGCCAGGTGGCAGGGGAGGGACAGGACGTGCGGCTGGCTGGGCGAACATGATGGTATCTGTGCTGATAGCACAGGCGTCCAACGTCTTACAGGGTACAGCTGTGTGCAAGGGTTGGAGATGGTACAGCAGGTCACCCCACCGACAGTGCTTCTCAGAAACCACCTCTTGGGGTGGGCGGGGCATACGTCTGATTGCTAAACATTCCGGATCAGGGGGAGACGAGATCGCGAGGAGAAAAGAGGCAGGGCTCCTGGGAGGTGCTGCAAAGGAAGCCTCCAGCCTCCGCAGACTGCTTGAGCAGGTGTACAAACTCAGTCATACAAGCCCCCTTTCTCTCACATGCCCTCTACGTCCCTGCCTGGGGGGTGGGGAGAGTGAGGCACAAACTTGTGGGGTTTTTGGAGTTGCAGACCTTGGGAGAATGGTGGGGGGATTCCAGCAAGATCGCCCTGAGAGGAGAGGCATCTGTGCCCTCAGGGCTTAGCAAGTATCTGGTGCTAGAAAAGTCCAGGGACACAATCAGGAGATGAAGGCTCAGAGAAGTGAAGTGACCCACCAAAGGTCACACAGCAGCTCACCGGGGTACCGAATGCAGCTCTGCTGACTGGAGGACCGGCTGATGCGCAGCCAGCCGCTCGACTCCCTTCCTGGCATTCAAAGAGCATCCCTGCAATTTGAACAAGACTGGAGTGAGGGCGAGGAGGGGCAGGTAAAAGGGAGAAGGGTGGGTGAGGTCATCTTCCAAATGAGCACGGCTGCCCCAGGAGCCAGTAGTCCCCTAATGTGCCTGTTGGCCCCCAGGGCCCTGCTCAGGCAGCGGGGCTGGGACAGTCCATGGGGAGGGCCTTAGCTCTGCTTCCACCTTTCGTGAGCTGTGGAACAGGAACACTGCCTCTCTGAGCTCATTTTCTCATCCAAAGAATGATGCACTCGTGCTTACAGACAGAGGCCCTGGATTCAAGTATCATGGTTTCAATTGTGGAATAATGACCGATGCACAAACAACAGAGGTCTTGACATGCAACCTTCAGCCAGCTTGCTGCAGCGTTCATGTCTGACACAACCACATCACAGTCCATACAATCAGGAAACCAACAGCAGTGCAGCACAAGCATCCACGTGCAGTCTCACCACAAATGCCTTGCTTCTGTCCCAGGAAACAGATCCAGAACCCTGTCTGCACTTACTCCTCCCGGCTCCTCAGTCCTTAAAATCTGGGATAGTTCTTCAGTCTTTCTCCCACTTCTCGAGGTCTCTGACAACTTTCTGATGATCGGGCATCTGTGGACATGTTCCCGGAGTCGAGGCTGGCACTGTTACAATCAAGCCTGGCTGGAGGAGTTCTGGATAGATCCCACTGAGGAGAGGTGCCCACACTTACCCCATCACAGGTACAGATGTGACATTCAGACAACTCGGCACCAGTGACACTGGCCACTGAGGCCTGGGGTAAGGTGGTACCTTCAGGTTTCCGTACGGTCAGGCTCCGACCCCTGCTTTCTCATCTCTATTCTTTGGAAGTGAGTTACTTAGTGTCTGCCCACTGTTAGGGATAGGAGAATTAAACTCTTCCTCTTGGGTGGCAGAATTCATGCTTTTATCACCTGCTTCTCCACAGAGCCCTCATTCGTTGATTTAAAGGACGGTCTTTAGAGACACATGTCTGGATAGGTTCATGATTTTCAGAACAAGCAACAGGAGAAAAGCATATTTAGATCTCTTTGTTCCACCCCGAAACCTGTTTTGCTCCCCACCCAGAGGCAGCAACCTTCCAGTGAGGATCCATTATTGCAAGTGCTTGGGACCAGGCATGCTTCGGATGGCAGCTTTTCTGGGGGTTGTGGCACCTTTGCAGATATGTAACAAGATGGCTCGGGGATGGGATCCAGCTCAAACTGCAGAATTCATTTGTTTCATGGATCCCTCACACAGGTGGGTTGAAGGTGACTTTACACGCAAAGGTTCCGAGATGCCTGTGTTTTCCAACGTGACCTTGTTAGCATGAGGTTCAGGAATGCCAGTGCTCAAAATATTTTGGCTTTGCAGCCCATCAGATTTTAGATTTAGGAATAAGGGGGTTTTGTGTTGGTGACATCACACATATCCTTCTAGAAGCAGAAGATACCAGTGCATTGCAGGGTTATGGCAATAAGAACGGATCAAGACGGATGTATGTGAAAGGCCCCGAAGGAGAACGCTGCTTCTTCCCTCTGTGGGTCAGAAGTTCTGCACAGCGCCTGGCATCGGGACCTGGGCACTGCATATGAGAGTGCCACCTGCAGTCGCAGTTGCTCCCCTTCCAATCCAGCTCCCTACCGATGCACCTGGGAAGGTGGTGGAAGACAGCCCAAGTACTTGGGCCCTGCTACTTATGTGGGAGACTCATGCTGAGTTCTTGGCTCCTGTGTTCAGCCTCGCCCAGCCCTGGACTACTATGGCCATTTTGGGGGAGTGCTCCAGCACACAGAAGATCTCTCTGTCTCTTCCTCCCTCCCTGTTACCTTTTAAATAAACAAATTAATAAACCTTATAAGCTCTGTGCAGAGAAAGCACGCACAAGTGCCAGGGGGGCATGTGAAGCAGGTGCGGGTAACCCTCCCCAGAGGGACTACTCACTGATGGCCCCGGTGTACGTTGGCTGCGTGAGGTCTTTGGGTACCTTCCTGTAGATGTCAAACCTGCAGGGAAGAAATGGGACAGGAATGAGGTGGGCAGAATGGGGCTCAGGCAGTGCAAGGCGCCACACAGTGTGGGTCTGTGAGGCACCGTTTTCTCTAGCACTAGTTCCTTCCATCCCTTCAACAGCCCTTGCTCCCCAAGGCCTCACAGGAACCCTCTGCTAGAAACCCACTCCCCCATCCTCTGATCACATGCCCTGCGTATTCTTCATGTCACCTTTTACCCAAGGTTGTTGCAAAGGACCTTGCTCCCTCATCTGCTTATGCTGATTTATACCCTATTAGGCTGTACTCCACCCCCGCCCCGAGGGTTGAGACTGGATCCTGGGTTTATCACTCTTGGTTGTGTCCCCAGACCCCAGCATGGGCTAGCACACAGTAGGCCTTTGACAGACAAGTGTAGGATGATGACCCCACATCTGAGTCTCAGGCGGCAATGACGCGACAGGAAGCAGGGAAACGCACAGTTACGCGGCGCCGCTGATTGTCGCGTCACCTCTTCCACCCCCTCTTCCTCTTCCTGCCTGTACCTCCTCCTCCTGGCTCCATTCCCTGACTCTCTCCCACCAGCTCCTGCCACCTGCTCCTTGCAGATTCTTTGGAATTCTAAGACATGATGAGGGTAACACAAAACCCTGCCGGGAGTCCTTGGCCTTGGCATCGGCTGGAATCGGCCCTGACTCCCAATGTTTCCCTCCTTGCCTCCCCCAGGGCGGAGACACGTTTCTTTCCTGTGGATCCCAGCGGAGCACTGGGAAGCTAGGCGGAGGGGTTTGGTGGAAGAAGGCAGAGTTTCCACATCAGGCGGACATGGGTTTAACTCCAGCTCTGCTTTGTATCCGGCTAGGGGATGAAGAGGTCCCAGCTTACCCTAGCTCACATCTCAGCAGTTCCTCTGCCTCACAGCTGTGTCTTTAGGCAGATGACTGCTCCTCTCGGAGCTGTACTCTCTTCACCTGTAAAGTGGGGTACAAGAGAGCCCGAGAGGCTGTGGAGCGAGCAAAGGAAGCACACATCTGCGGGGGCCCACTGCAGGCAGCTGGCAAGGCAGTCCCCCCTCTTTCCTGCATTTGAACCTGTGTGGGTGCAAGCTATTCCTTACATGGCCATTATCACAGAGCCCTCTGGCCACAAGGGTGCTCCCAGGCTCCCAGGCAAACTGACTCTCAGTGGGGAGGTCAGCGGCTGCAGCCTCAGGCGACAAGGAACAGTCGTTCCTCCTGGGTGCTTGCGAAACAACAGGAGCCTGCTGAGCCCAGCACAGGGGCCTGCCTCTCTTGCGTAAGTGCCTCAACTCCCATAATCACACCCGCCACAAACAGCTTCCTGCCACCTCCCATGGCAGTGGAGGAAGAATCCCTGCACAGGTGACAGACATCACTTTCTCTGCTGCCTGCCTGGCCCCGGTCAGCATCCTGAACCCTGAAATGCCAGGAACCTTAGGAGGCATCTGATCCCTGAGTGCATACAAGCAGTAGTAGGATCAGAATGCCTGGCTTCCACAGCGATTCCACTGTGATTTCATGGGACCTGGATGTGTCACCTAACCACTGGTTTCCTTAGTTCCTTTGTAAAGTGGGGACAACAGTAGCCTTCTCCCCAGTGCCCACAATGCCTGGGGCTGGGCCTTGGCCAGGGGCCAAGGATGGGGAATAAGGAATCCAATGAAGGTCTCCTGCACATATCTGGGCCATCACCTGCTGCCTCCAGGGACTGCATCAGCAGCAAGCAGAGTCAGGAACAGAAGGCAGGCACACTGGTACTGGACATGGGCACCCACACTGGTGTCTTCGGCACTTGTCTGTGCACTACCATGCCGAATGCCCATCTGACCGCCAATCAGAAAGCACCTTCCGATGTGGATTTCTCTTTGCAGACACTAGGGACATGGAGGTCAGATTCAGGCTGTGGCTGCCGGAGCCTACAGGCTAGCAGCAGGGTCAAAGGAGTGCCCATCCAGGGGGATCAGCGGGAGGTGCTAGGGGAACCCAGCAAGGGCCCTTCTGGAAGCCTCCTGCAGGAGGCGGAATCTGAACAGAGCAGCAGGAGAGGAGTGTGGGCAGAGGAGGTGAGGACAGAAGCGGAAGCGGAGGAGTGGGAGAGAAGCACTGACGTCCATGTGGAGCAGGGGACACGGGCTGGAAGGAAAGGAGATGGCAGAAGTGGCAGGGGCTGCAGCTTGAGGCGAGTACCAGCTTGAGCCAAGGCAGGCAAGCCCGGGGGGCACTGCTGCCAACTGCAGACGGCTTGTGGCTTACAGTGGCTCAACTCGGGATGCTGTGACTGAATCCTGGGTTTGGATCTTTTTGCAGCCCTGCAACATGTGACCCAGTCATCTCAGGCGACACTGGGTGGTGGCAGCGGCAGCAGCACAGTCAGTCCTGCAGGTACTGACACTTTACATTCAACCAACGGCACGGGCTGCCCAACACCTGCTTATGACACAGCTGTGGATTCGATGACTTTGTCCACGGTCAGTGTCCTAAGCATGCCTGCTGGAGGCAGTTCAGGCGAAGCCAGAATGTCTGATGGGTCAGATGCAGCACACGGTGTTTTTGATTTAACATTTCAGCGTCCAGTAAATTTCTCAGCACTGGAAACCCAGGAGTGTCTACACTGCCAGAGAGAGGTGCAGTCTCAGAGTGGTCCCGGGAAAGTGAATTCTTCTGACTTTTCAGAAGACGACTGGTGATTTTAGACTCCAGTGTTAAGGGCCAACAATTGCGCAGGACCAACGAGGAGAAGCTGCAGGTGGAATGAGGCTGGGGAGCCCGCTGTGGGGCCATCCGAACAAAGAAGTCCTCGCAGAGTGGGAGACAGAGAGAAGGGCACGACAGTCTTGTGACCTGCACACTACGCCACAGTGCCGGGTGGACTCCTCCGGAGGCTGTGGTGTCCAGGGGTGGGACTGGCTAGGAGGCAGGGAGAGGTTCTTGTCCTCACTCTGCCCCAGCCTGGTCTTGGATCAACAAAACACTGCTGACTCTCGCCGGACCTCGGTTTCTTCGGGTGCAAACCAGGGAGGTACAAACAAGATCTGCAAGATCTCCGCAAAACTAGCATCAAAGCCCTGACTTAAGATATCCAAGTGACGAATGACCCAGTTTCCGGTCCAGGTCCTCATCAGGGACTCCTCGGGCAGATGCTGGCCATCACAACTGACAAACCAGTGCTGCTTTGAAACTGGGAGTGTGGCGGGAAGTCAGAGGGCCAAGCATAACTTGGGGGAGCCAGTCTGGCAAATTGGATCAAGGTTCTTTTCCCAGAGCCGCTGGGGGTTCCCCAGAAGGCATCAACCTGTTCAAAACGCCCAAGTTCATGGCACAGATGCCCAAGGAGCCCCCTATGAGAGCTGATGGAGGCAGATGCTGCCACTGCCCTTCAGAGCTGCCAGTCCAGCCAACCCCTGGAAGTTGCCCCTTGACTGACTTGTGAGTTGAGCATTACAGTCCCATTTCACAGATGAGGCTTAGAGAAGCTGGAGGCTTGGCTAAAGTTAGGATGAGCTGTGGCAGGGGTCTGAATCCTGGCCTAAAGTACACCCTGATAACGTCTCTATTTCCACGTTGTCACAGACCCAAGCTGGGGAGTGGCATGGAGGGGGCGCTGAACAAGACCCCAGTCTAAGGGCTGACCACAAGCCAAGTGAGTCAGCCGCGAGTGTCTGTGAGCAAATGGGCTGCCGGCAGGCCGGTGAGAACGCAGGCATGTGACAGACCAGGAAGTGAGCCGTCCGTCTCCTCTGCTTCACATGAGTCAGTGAATGATGTGACCAGTGGCGGCCAGGGCGTGGAAAACACAATGTGGAGGAAAGAGGAGAGGAGATGGGGGAGAGCGATGCCAGCCCCTTGACTGGCAGGTTCTCTCTTGATTAATGTGTGAGTTGAGCACTGCAGTCTCATTCCACAGATGAGGCTTGGAGAAGTTGGTGGCTTGGCTGAAGGTCCCACACTTAGGACGAGCTGTGACAGGGGTCTGAATCCAGGCCTCAATGATGTCCTTGCTACTTTTTCCAATAATGTAGGGATAAATCAAGCCCATTTGGGTGGATAATACTTCTTAGGAAGAGAGATTAAAGAACTGGAATTGCTTAACTTTCAACAGAAAAAAGCTCAAGCATGGAGTGTCGATGGATGTCCCCAAAATGCTCTCTTTTAGTCTGCCCTCTAGACCGTGTCTAAATCTGGCCCTCCCAGTCCTGCTCAGCCCTGCCCAGCCCTGGCCCTTTATGGGAACTGAGTCAATGAATGGAACTGCAAGGGCCTAGCATTCAGCGGCTGGTCGTAAGAATGAAGTCTGCCTTGTGGTATAGTGATAATGAGGTGCTGGCATCCCACATGGGTACCAGCTGAAATCCCGGTTGCTCCACTTCTGATCCAGCTCCCTGCCAGTAATGCACCTGAGAAAGCAGTGTGAGATGACCCAGATGACTGGGCCCCTGCCCCCACGTGGGAGATCCAAGGGAAGCTCCTGGCTCCTGGCTTCAGTCTATTGCAGCCATTCAGGGAATGAACCAGCAGATACAAGATCTTTCTACATCCTTCCCTCTAACTCTGCCTTTGCAATAAACAAACAAACAAACAAAAAGTCTTTCTTAAGAAAAAGAATACAGGGGCTCGGTGCAGTAGCCTAGAGCTAAAGTCCTTGCCTCGCACATGCCGGATCTCCTATGGACACTGGTTCTAATCCCAGCAGCCCCACTTCCCATCCAGCTCCCTGCTTGTGGCCTGGGAAAGCAGTTGAGAACAGCCTAAAACTTTGGGACCCTGTACCTGCATGGGAGACCTGGAGGAAGTTCTGGGCTCCTGGCTTCAGATTAGTGCAGCTCCAGCTGTTGCGGTCACTTGGGGAGTGAATGATCGGACAGAAGATCTTCCTCTCTGTCTCTGCTCCTCTGTATATCCGACTTTCCAATAAATAAATAAATAAATCTTTGTTTAAAAAAAGGCAAAGAGGAGGAAATGGATGGTGGTGAAGATGGCTGACTGGCGCACAGGGGT